TATAGCTATGCCTTGGTTGCTATAGAATCACTGGGAGGAATTGCCCTCCCAGCCAATTGTCAGTGAGAATCAGCTGTGTCTGCAGTGGGAGAACTTCTGTGCTGGAGACACCCTTCTGGGGCGCGACTTGCTTCAGTGGGGCTTTGATGCTCCCTGAGTCTGCCCACTGAGTGTGTCCCTTATGGATCTGAGGAGTTGTAATCTGGATGGTCCCACTCTGACCACTGGGTACACTGGCTCTTGGATCTCTAAGTAGGTGCTAATCTAGCCTCTGCCTGAGGCTACCCAGCAGGAACTATGGAGAGATTCCGCTTCTTTGTTTGGCAATTGGAGGTGCCCAGATGAGGCCCAGCTTTGAAGCAATGCAAGCTGCTGTGGGGCCTTGGACCTTCATTTGGAAGTTCTGGGCCTTTCTGATTCAGCTGCAGTTTGTTAGGTAATTTTCAGATTGCAAAGGGCCAGGCCTTTCATATGCAAAAGCCTCTGTGCACAGCTTGGGTGGGACAGGGTCTCAGGATCAACAGGGTGGAGCAAGCAGCTATGGCTGCTCCCCAGTCCCACCTTATGAGGCCCCCGTGTCTCAGTGTCCCGGTAATCGCTGAAAGCACCTCTGAGAGAAAGCTGCCCTCGTGTTCTCCCTGATGCCAGACCGTCCAGTTTCTCCCCGTATGAGTCTGGGTCCCCAGAGACTCTCCCAGAACTGGAGTTCAGAGCAGTCTCCCTCCCGATTGAAAAAGACAACCGTGTCCTCAGCTGCCAGCCCTTGCCACGTGCTCGAGCCTCTGTACCTCTGCACTCTACTTCCGCACCTCCTCTGAGTCTCAGGGTGCTTTTCTCTTTCCTTCTAGTTGTAGAATTTTCACTCAGCCAGCCTTCCTGTGGTTCTGGATGATGTCCGTTCCGTCTTTTAGTTGTATTTTTGAAGTGGTTGTGCGAGGCAGCAATTTCCGGTGTTTACCCATGCTGCAATCTTGGTTTCTCTAGATTGCCTTTATTTCATTTTGTTTATTGATGTTGTGTTGTGAAGCCTTTTTTTTTTTTTTAATTTGTTGCAGCAATCTGAACTGTTTATTTTTTTTATTTTGCCTGGTGGTTGGTGTCACATTCAGAAAATCCTGTCCAAAACTTACCTCCAAAATGTATTCTGTAGGTTGTCCTGAGGAGTTTTAAGTTTTAGTGCTGACATTTAATTCTGTCATGCAGATTGAGGTAAATTTTATCAGTGGTGTCAAGTTTTGTTGTTTTACTTATGAATATCCATTTTTTATCATCACAATTCATTGAAGAAACTATCTTTCCTTTCTTCTATGTCTTGCAGCTTTGACAAAGAGTACTGGAACCTATGTGCCTGGATTTATTTCTGTGTCATCTGTTCTTTTTTTTTTTTTTTTTTTTTAATTTATTTCAGAGAGGAAGGGAGAAGGAGAGAGAGATAGAAACATCAGTGATGAGAGAGAATCATTGATTGGCTGCCTTCTGCACACCCCCTACTCGGGATCAAGCCCGCAATCCAGGCATTTGCCCTTGGCTGGTATTGAGCCTAGGACCCTTCAGTCTGCACGTAGGCTCATGCTCTATCCACTGAGCCAAGCCGGCTAGGTTTATCTGTTCTATTCTATTAATCTATGTGTCTGTGTTTTTCCAGTAACACACTGTTTCTTTACTTTTTCTTCGAAATAAATTGAAATCAGGAAGTGTGATGCTACCAGCTTTGTTCTTCCTAAGATTGCTTTTGCTATTCGAGGTCTTTGGTTTTATACATTTCAACATTCTCTTTTGTTTGTAAAATACCATTGGAGTTATCATCAGGATTGCATTTAATCTGTGGATTGCTTTGCAGATTGTAGAAATCTTCATGATACTTGATTTTCTTTTCTTTTTTCCATATATTTTTATTGATTTTAGAGAGGAATGAAGAGGGAGAGAAAGATAGAAACATTAATGATAAGAGATATTCATTGATCAATTGCCTCCTGCAGGCCCCCCACTGGGGATCGAGCCTGAAACCCAGGCATGTGCCTTTGACTGGAATCGAGCCCTTCAGTCCTCAGGTTCATGCTCTATCCATTGACCTAAACCAGCTAGAGCGGGATACCTCATTTTCAAATCCATGAACACAGGATGTCTTTCCACTGATTTGGGTTTTCTTCTGTTTCTTCTGTCAATGTCATATAGTGTTCAATGTACAGACATTTCACCATTTTGGTTGAATTTATTCCTGAGTATCTCATTGCTTTCAGTGCTATTGTAAATTTGAATATCTTCATTTCTCTATCAAAGATTTTATTGTTAGTGTGTAGAAGTGGAACTAATGTTTGCATGTTGATTTTTGCATCTGAAACTTTTCTGAATTTAATTATTTTTTTAATTCTCACTGGAATAGTGAAAATATTTTTAGCATTGATTTTTTTGTTAGAGAGAGAGAGTGAAAGGAAGAGGAGGTGGGGGGGTGGGAAGGGAGGACCATTGATGTGACAGAGACACGTCGATTAGTTGCCTCCCACAGGTGCCCTTATTGGGAGCAGGGATCCAACCTGCAATCCAGGTACCTACCCTTGACTGGAAATGGAACCTACTGCTCTTCAGTGGGCAGGCCAGCACTCTCACCACTGAGCCACAGTGGCCAGGGCTATTTATTTATTCTTTAAAATGTTTATTTATTTAATTTATTTTTAAAATATATTTTA